CATAGCCTTCTTAGGCGTCAATATAGCCCTGTAGGCAACTCATAGCCCTTCTAGGCATCAATATAGCCCCGTAGGCAACATATAGCCCTTTTAGTTATCCATTTAACCCCGTAGGCTGGACATAGCCCTTCTAGGCATAAATCACATTCCTGCAGCTAACCACAATAGCCCCAAGGGCAATAATAACAATCAAATCGTTAAAAGCGAGCAATCTAGTTATAAGCAACCTGTACAAATAGCCTCTAAGTCGTGTCCAACATAGGGACGCCACTACTTAATAAGAATCCCAATAAGAGATGATTATATCCACTAGAGCAGCCAACAATCAACAATAATGGCTACAAGTGTAACAAGGATAACAACCCAATTGCATTGCTCTTAAGCTTTAAGGAAACATACCGTAAGTAAGGAATAACCTTAACATACCTTTTTCGCTGAATTCACGTGGACTAACAACTTTTACTCATAACTCCCTCGATACTACAACAAGGGTAGGACCATAATCAACACACAAAAATAAAAGATACCATGACAATACGATAATAGATATGTATTTCCGTCGCAAATTGCTATTTGCTGCTTATAAAAGCTAGAGTCGATGAAAGAAGGGTCTTACCTCGATCTTAAGGTCGTAATACGCCTCAAAACCTTCAAATATATTCAAACCCTTGCTGTCCCAACACTAAAGTGTGATATGCTACGAAATTGATAAAATAAATTATACCACGATGATGAGCACAACGCGTAGGACAACTTTCGTCAAGGACTTAAGTCAAGAAAATCTATACTTTAGTTGATCCTAGATATGGGTTTCTCTATTTTTTTCTAGTTCTTAGCTAAAAATGAAGAAAAGGTTCGAAGAACAAGATACATGTAAAGTTCCACCGACCTAGGGCCTCACCTTAAGTGCCTGATTGTGCAGACCCATAAAAATGAAAATATCTCTCTATTCTGAAATCGTATGAACAAACGGTTTAATGCGTTGGAAACTAGACTCGTAGACCTTCGATTTGATAGGTTGTGGGCCATATAAATCTTTATATATTGGGATAAAACCTCCGAGACATTTGACCTAAATTTCAGAGAAATCTTAAAAAAGGAACTTACGATAACTTCCGCCAACTTTTATTTTGCCACTTACTTAACTTCAAAACTTGAGATACAACCCTTGAACACTTAAAATATGACATACCACATCATTTTTAATTTATTACTCACCCTCCTTGTCTTTCCACGAAGATACGAGTTAATTTAGACGTTTTGAAAAGTCGGGGTGTTAGAAGAATGATATCAAATTCTACCATTTCTAACTCTACAAGATCTACTGAGGTGACTTTCTGGGAGACTGTGACAGGTCAATTTCTATATACTCGTCTAGCTAAAACTGGGTCACCGACTAGAGTAGAGACTGAGAAGGGTTCTGAGAGAATTTCTAGACTAATACTGAAGTTGACTGCTATAGAAGGAGTTACAAAGGAAAGAGTAGCCCATGGATCTAAAATGCATAAACATCTAAGTCAAAGACTCGTAACGTAACATTAACGACATCAGGAGAATCTTCTTGATCCTGGCGAGCCTGGAGAGCATACAACCTGTTTTGGCGCTGACCGCCACCTGTACCAAATGAGTTACTCTGCCGAGTCGGCGACCTACTGGTGCTGATGAAGTTGTGGATTGAGCTCTACCATTTTTACCTCGTTGACCCTGTTTAGAAGGAAAATCTTTGAATATGTGACCAGACTGACCACAGCCAAAACATCCTTCTTTTCCTACAAGGCACTCGCCCGGATGATTCTTACCACACTTTGGACAAGTTGGGTAGGTTCTGGTGCCTGAAATACTACCTTGAGACTTAGAGCCTGATGCCCTACCTTTCTGATCATTTCGAAACTTGGAGGATGGAACACTAGCTGATGAAGGTGATGGAGCTGAAGACTTCTACTGAAACTGTGAGCGATTTCCACCACCCAATTTTTGTTGAGAATACTCATAGTTGCCTATTCTAGCGTTCTTATTCTCCTTAGCATGTTCCCTAAGCTTATATCCCTCAACGTGCTGAGCATCAGTCATGAGCCTAGAGATGTTCATATTTTCCAACAACATAGCATTCATACACTCTGTTTTCACTAGATCGGATACCCCATACAGAAACTTGTTCATTTGAGCCCTGAAATAAGCCACCATGTGAGGAGCATACCTGGAAAGTTGGGTGAACTTGAGTTCATACTCTTGGACTGTCATGGAACCCTGCCTCAAATTCGTAAACTCCTGAGCTCTTGCCTCCCTAAACTCTCTTGGAAAGAACCTGTCCAAAAAGATTTCACTAAAGCATTCCCAAGTGATAGGAGCTGCATTTGTACCCCTGTTCACTTTCCATTGAGTATACCAGATATGAGCTACATCCTTAAGCTGATAGGATGCCAACTCTACCCTATCATTACATGTCACGTGCATCACTCCAAATATCTTCTTGACCTCATCTATGAAGTTTTGGGGATCCTCACCAATCTGCGATCCTAAGAACTCAGGCGGATTCATCTTAACAAAATCGCGAACCCTGGCTGCCACTGATCCACCACTAGCATTTGCAGGAACTGGAACCTGCTGGTTATTCTGGTTAGTCACACTCTGAGCCAAAAGTTGAATGGTATTCTGAAACTCAATATTCATAACGTCCTAATCTAGGACTGGAGGAGTTGCATTAGCGATGCCTATAATCACATTCCTTTCATAAGCTCTACGAGGAGGCATGATCTGAAATGCATAACAAAGGATTTAGAACGAGGAAATTTGATCATACCTCACGGAAAAGTAACTCAACCGAATCGTTGAGGAAAGAAATGCCCTAACCGAAAAGGCTTTTAAAAGGGCTACTTTCTTCGGCATGGGGTTGCTAGGCTCGCCCAAAGACCAAAAAGACAGCATCTATCTCATCCTTGAAAATGAGATAGATGAGCTTGATCTTAGCCAACTCCTCAAAACGGTCCGAAAATGGAATAAGGAGTCGAGTAGCAAAGAAATGAAGTTTTTCCTAAAACACTTCGTAGTCTCCCTCTCATTAGATGTGGTGCACTTCACACCCATGAAAAGGACTCTACTTAATGTGGCTTTTCAGACATCTTAGGACACTTAAACCTAAAGCTCTGATACCAAGTTTGTCACGCGCCGAAACTACCCCTAGAACGTGGACACGGGACCTAGGATCACGAATGACCCCAAGCTAACCCTGTTGGCATATCATAAGCATACTAAATAAACTGAAGTAAAGAAATACTGTGCGGAAGCTAAATCATCATGTAAACTGAAATAATGGGAATACCCATATACTAAATCTGAATATATGAAAGTGAGAGTTTAAACAATAACTGAAAAGTCAAACTCTAACACTATAGATGAATCTAACTATGTTTGAAAATAGTCTCTAACTGACTAGAGGTGTTGGGACATGCCCCAACTAAATCTAGCAAAACTGAAACTAAAACTGAAAGCAAAGAAAGACAATCATATCAACCGTCCTCGAAGAATGAGGACTCACCACTAATGCTACTGAACTGAAGATCGGGAACCGATCTATGCGTGATCTGGAAGCTGAGAACCTGAACCTATATCACGAGAAGATGTAGCGTATAGTATGTGTCAGTACTTGAAAGTTACTGAGCATGCATGAGAGTAAGGCTGAACAATAATCATAACTAAATCAAAGCATATATCTGAGCAATGATATGAGATAAACATGATACTAAACTGAGAATACTAAACATGAACTAACTAAATGCAATGACCAAGTTTATAACATACTAAAACTGAAATCTGAACTGAAACTGATAACCTGGTTAATGCACTAGAATCTAGTTGTGGGAGCTACTAATAACCGACATAAAACCACATGAGTTAAATGTGGAGTCCGATGTATATGCCCCATCTAGAGGACCCAATATACCGTGTCAGAGGTATAGAGGCATGACTGGCATGATCACTAAAATGTAATGCCCACAGAGGAGACTTATAAACCTACAGGGGCACGTAGTTCTAGGACTATTTAGGTACGTTGAACCTTAGTCCACTCGGTATTAAGCTACTCCTAATTGATTATGTAATTAACAATTTATGACTGAATTTCTGTAATACGGGATAGCTCAAAATACTGACATGCTAACTGAATATGAAACATTAATATGCTGATAATAAAACATTCAAATATGAGGCATGTATATCTGAAGTATCTGACCTAGCATATGTAATACATGAACTAAAAGAACTACATAGTTAGGGTTCTGAAATTATGAAAGAATCTACACAAAACGATACTGAATTCATGACAATCTGATTTGGATCATTCTAACAGTTAAAACCCAACAATTTCTAACATTCAAGAAACCCTAGGTCTAGATAATATTAAGGGAATCAAGATTCTGACTGAAATATAGGGACCTAATGGGTGAAAGGAACCCAATAGTGAAATCCCACATACCTGGTGACGAATTCCACAGAGAAATCTTTCGATTTTGGGGTTGAAACTGATGAAAACTTGTTGCGTTCTTGGACTAGGGCTTGGTCGACTCTTTCTCCTTCTGCATTCTAATTTTTCTATGTTTTTGATGAATGATTTGCTTATGGTAGATTATAATTTAGTTACTAGGCTAAAACTGACCAAAACTACATAGTTTAGGGGTTAAACGACGTAGTTTCCCTAGGTCTAGATAATATTAAGGGAATCAAGATTCTGACTGAAATATAGGGACCTAATGGGTGAAAGGAACCCAATAGTGAAATCCCACATACCTGGTGACGAATTCCACAGAGAAATCTTTCGATTTTGGGGTTGAAACTGATGAAAACTTGTTGCGTTCTTGGACTAGGGCTTGGTCGACTCTTTCTCCTTCTGCATTCTAATTTTTCTATGTTTTTGATGAATGATTTGCTTATGGTAGATTATAATTTAGTTACTAGGCTAAAACTGACCAAAACTACATAGTTTAGGGGTTCAACGCCTAAGGAAAAAACCAAACGACTCCTGACTTAACTGCTGTCGGGGCTAACTAACGGACCAGACCCATGGACCGTGGATCGACCGACGGTCTGTGCTGGTCAACCGTCGATCGTCGTCTGGGGTGGAATCTGGGGCCTCGATCCATGGACCAAGACATGGTCTGTGGCCTGGCCTACGGTCCGTAGGTCCGACCGTGGGTCGACACTTGGCCAAAATTTTTGGGGCTTTCATGGGAAGGGTCGTAGGTAGTGAACCATGGACCAGCATGGGCCATGGGTCACCCTACAGTTTGTGGGTGGTGCCTTCCACCTGCAACTTCAGAAATTTGCAATTGGTCTGTTTTCGAATATGGGGTGTTACACCGAGATACATGTATCTATGCTTGTCAGATACACGTATCTAGCAAACAAAAAATTGTATGGAAAGTAATTTGTTGAACTTCTATGTCCTGACGTGATTACGACCTAAAGTAGCACGACCTTAAAGCATCCCTTATGTATGGGCTCAAATTTCCTACAATTTATTTATTTATTGTAAATTGTGGTACTTGTTTAAGAAATTTATGAAAAAGTAAAGTTTGATTCATAAAAACTTATAGATGCGCAAGTTGGGAATGGGAATAGATGTGTGGCACTCTGAGCCCTGTCATTTTTGTATCGAAAGGAGTAGGGATACTATACAAGAAAAAGGGACATGCAGTAAGCAAATTCATTGTTTGATCACCACCATTTGGGCAAATACAATACCAATAATGTCACAATTCGGATATTACATCCATCAAGTGAAAAAAGATGGATGGGGTAGGGGTGAGGCAGAGTAAAAATAAAAAAATGAAAAGCTTTCAAATATTTTCACCACATCCTTGGCACAGTCAGTTTCTAACTTAAAGCTATCATTACCACTCTATCCACCATGTGATACAAAAGAATGTTACACTCTGGTCCAAGCTCTATGTTCCTCTTGATGATACAAAAGAGGGAGAGAGAGAGAAGCAGCTATGCTTAGAAGCTGCGGTTCAATAAATCTCATTGCACAATTATCTGAAGCTACAATGGCTTGACGTGGAACTTTATATGACACCGTAACACCATGGAAGAACCACGGCATCAAGGCTTAGTGTCTATTTTGTTAGTGGGAATTTATACACTGACAACACCAGACATCCATGGAACAACAACTGGTGCATTTGGGTGTGCATTTCTGAATGACTCAGAATATTGGTCCTTAAAAGTTGATTTAGCTTTCTCTGCCTGCAAATAAAAGGGAAGATGGAATGAGGGACAGCGTTAGTCTGTGAAAGATCATTCTTAAATTATCCGGTCCAAGAAAGAAATACATGATCGTTAGTGAATTTTGTGAAGGGCACTGAGAACTAACATATTTCAGCCAGCATTCTTGATTTTTGTGTTGATAAATATCTGGAGAATAGCATCCATTCTCAAATGGGCAATAAACCCATATGTTGCATTTCTTGTCATTGGGTCCAGCGTTCTTAGCTTGATTCAAACAGGCCATGCAACACTCAAATGCAGATTCTTTAGGGTGGGTAAGGCCCCATCTGACTGCATCTCCACCGTAATCCGTATGAAGTTCAATGTTACACTCAGGAGGAAGTCGCCTGCCAGCTATGATTTCATTGTCTTGAGAACATAAGTAGAGGATCAGAATTTAACAAAACAAACTATTCCCAGGCGTTTCTTTTGATAAAGGAGCAAGATAGTGAGAAAAACTAGTTCATGTTACAGTGCTTATGCACATATTAAGCGCAGATACTATCTATCCACAATATTATACCTAGTCCTTTCTTCCATGCAGAAAACAACTATTTAAAAAAAAACTATGCACAACAACTAAACTTCCATTGGGAAACTAAGATAGAGAATAAAGTGAAAAATTCTTCAGAATCAACACAATACACTCAAATGATTTAGATTGAAAAATGAAGTATGTCATTACCAAATTCTTCTTCACCCTCAGGTTTGTCATGATGTTCGTTATTAATTATTGCAACAGGTATCCAAAGACCTATTTCTTCTGACAGCTCAGCCCAGTCAACATCCAAAATTTGTGCAAGTAGACCTGCAAGATAGTAAATGAATTTGTCAAAGTACAGATGGATTATGGACTAGGAAGAAGAAACCCTGGTTAACATCAATGTAAGGCTGATATAGGAAGCGTGAACTGTAAAGATACGGTACTTGGGCCTAACTCAACCCAAAAGCTAGCTTTTGAGGGGAGAATTACCCAAGTCTATATAAGTAGACCACCAGTTCATTCCCCAACCAATGTAGGACTCTAACCTACTCTAACACCCCCTTCATGCTCAAGACCAACTGGAGCATGGAATGGGATCCCAAATGGGGTGAACTCGGCACTGATACCATGTAAAATAAGGCACTTGGGTCTAACTCAACCCCAAAACCTATCAGCAGACCACTCGTCCATTCCCCAACAATTGTGGGATTCTAACATGAACAGAAACAAAGTCGTAAATAAAGGAAACAACATAAAGTCAGAAGTAAAAGACTTACCAGCTTCCTCGGGGGCAATAGTTGAATTTGATGTCTTCCTATTAACAAGCTCCCTGGCTTCTTTTAATTTTTTCCGGCGCCAACTTTCAACTGCGTCTGTTCATAAGAAAAACCATCAACAATGATAACCAGGAAGAAGTAAATGAGAAACAATGGAAAGAATACTACATAACTATAGGATATTGACGCTCAAAATTGACACATTATTCACAGAGCAGTAGAACTGACATAGAATGTATGATAAAAGTTCATAAACTATACCTACTCCATTCTTTGCATAGACATCTATCATTCAATAATGTCTTGAATAACTTGCATTTAAGTGGAATATTATTTTTTGTTGTCGAAGAAGACATCAGACTAATATGGAATTATATACTCATAAAAGCAGTAATGCTGACATGTTCGAAAATATTGCAGTTCTAAGTGGAATCTGTGCGAACAAAAATATGAAGTAACATCTTTCAAGGCATACTTTTGAACTCAATTTATCAACTCAAGATGGATAGACATGCAGGTCATCCAGTGTCTCCAACGAATGGGAAACCACAGAGGGGGTGGGAGATCATTTTCATTAGATTACTACAGTTGGAGGTGATTGGCTTTGCATTTCCCAAAAAAACTTTACACCTAAACAAAAGTCTAGGCCTACTTGCTAAAATGGAAATAAGCAAAATGGATGCCCAGGACATAGATAGTTATAGCTGGAAAAGAGAAAAAGATGGTTTGTACAACTATTAAATCAAATCAGGTTATACAATGTTTTTTTCTCGTCAAATGGTTTGATTAACTCATGGCCATGGCCCTGTAAACTAATATGAAAGACAGCTTCTTCTTTATTTTTTATAACAGTGGGTTCCGGGGCAGCTTGTACACACTTCGACAAATTTCACAGTTACCTGCTACTCTCACAGTAAAGGTACCTCGTTACTCTGTCCACCAAGGCTTGGAAAAATAAAAAGAAATCACCTAGTGTCTTTGCATCAAGTGGAATTAGAACCTGAGAGCTCATAGTTCTCTACCTACTTTATTGATCAATAGTCCATAACCTTGGGTGCAATACCATCCACAATTATTTGCTTCTTCTGAGTGACACATGTTTGACTCAAGACAACCTCATCAAGAGGGGCAGGCAATATGTGCCAACAAAGTTCAGAAAGTATCAGGCAACTATTTGTACATTGTACGGTTGCAATAGACCTATGTGCATGTTCTTCTCAATATTTGGACTCAACTGGGCCATGCTATAGACTACTAAAGATGCATTTGTGAGCTGGACTTCATGGAAGTTGGAAAATCAAGAAAAAAATCTGGCAAATGTTAACTACAGGTATGTTTTGGTGTGTGTGGACGAAAATACATGGAATCTCAACTCCAAATCATCCTCTGACTTGCTAGAGCAGCTTGTCCTATGTAAATAACCTTTGATCATTTTCTAGATTATGTTAGCTCCCTAAACTTATGATAGGATTTTGTTATGTAATGGAGCTAACATTTCCTTTTTGTATCTACTGTATCTTCTTGATTCCATCAGTGAAAGTACTTTATCACAAAAAAAGAAGTCAGATAGAGACATTTTCAATGAACTTCACGTTTTTTTGAAAAATTGTAAGTGTAGTAATAATATAGCAAGAAGAAGGTGCTGTAAAAAGTCCTTGTAAGGAACTAAAAGGATATCCTTTCCTATTCTTAAAGGGATTCATTTAAAAAAAAATGTTTACACAAAAAATGAAACAAAAGTTAACAGTTCATCTCATCCCCTTCAAAAAAAGTAAATAGTTTATCTTATCTTCCATATAGATTTCCCTTTAATCTTTAGATGAACTGCACCTCTTTAAGCTTTTTTTCTTTTCCATAGACCTTATAGAAGTGCTTGGTTTACGAACAGGTAAAGGTGAATCAATAGGGAGGATTTTTCATTGTTTGTTTAATTATAGAGCTGCTCAAAATCGAACCATAACCAATACTCCAATTGCAAAATAGGCCTTACTGTCTTGTTGATATCGGGTTATCATATTAGCGGTTGAGGAACTGTTTGAAATTTTATAGTTAATGGTTTAACCAGAGTACGATTTGCGCACTTTCCTTATGGTTTAGCCGTTAACCCATTAAAAATTATTAAATTTACAAATATTCCCTATGAATTTAAAGTGGCCTTTGAAACCTTATACTTATTTCTCTTCATTCCTCATCACGCATCAGTTGGCTCCACAAAGACAAAAATGGCGAACGCTCTCGGATCAATCATTCCTATTTGTGTTCAATTTTGTGTAGAGTAAACATATGAATTTTCTCTCATTGCTATAGTTTCAGAAGTTTATCGTTGATTTGACTTGATTCTTTCCAGTTCTATTAGTGTGGCAAAGTTGAAGCTAGTATCATCCTCTGGTTTTTCTTGAATTTAAGACTTAATTTCATCAAAGTTTAACCATGAAGAAAATATCATGAGCTAGCCTTAAATACCTTCTTGATTCAACTGTTAAACCAATATCGAACAAACCAATATCTTATCATATCGATTAGCCATTTAATACATTTTAAAAACCAACAAGCTTAACCGTTAAGCGCAAATATTCAATTGAACCGCCTGACATCCTTAATCATTTGGGGCAGACACCTGTAAGGTGCCAGGAAATATTCTACAAGATTGACGTAACTTTACATGTAATTGTGTAACTCATCGTATTAATCACATCCCCTCTCCCTACTCTAATTTCCCGTTTCTACCACATTTCTAAACAACCATATTGCACCAATCTATTCGCCCAGAATTGTTTAACAATCCTTTCCACTCCCCTTCCAGTTTGACTCCTACTTTCCATTCCTACACCATAGGCTTCACTGTCCTTGTTTTAGCCATGTCATTCAATCCCCTAACATTCCAAGAAATCAGGTTTTGCTTCATTTTGATACGCTGCAAACAAACTTCCTGCTTGTCCTGGTCCCAATTGCCCCCAACTTAACATAACAAATTAGGTTTGTAATCTTTTGTATCCCTTCTGGTCTCAGAGTCCTACAAATTGGAGATTCAATTCTCTTTATTTGTCTTCTCCTGTCTATCTTTAGAAATAAACTTAGAGCTTCCCTCTCACAGCCTTCAAAATCAACCCCATAAGTTTTGGTCATCTTCATCGCATTATTATAAACCCATAGTGACGCGACATGTTGTCATAAGCCCTAGAGCGAAGCTCAAAAAATGTTGAGCGCTTCACCTCACTTAATGTGCTCTTTAGTATAGTCATCAAGGCACTATCACACACATTTCATTGCCAATGACGCTTCCTGGAGATGAAACTAAACAATTGATATTTCACTTCATAGTAAAATAAATTAAATTTCTTTGTCCATATATTTGTTATTCATGTTTATCATTAATAGTCTTGGAATAAACATATATTTATTTGTACTTTTCTCCATTTGTGCTTTTTTCATTAAAGCCCCAACAGACCTTAGAGCTTATTTGCGCTTTTCACTTTTGAATTTTGATAACAATGTAACGCGCCCATTTAAGCCATCTGCATTTGATTTTCCAGTGGGATTAGTTTATCAACAAGAAAATCTACATTGCTTCCATTTCATAATCTATTGCTTGGGCTCGCCACCCTGATAAAAGGGAAAAATTTCATCTCTATTCATAACTGTCATCACATTACCCTCTTTGTCATGCAATCTTTGCAATTCCCCAAGCCATGATTTATCGTATTCAACAATTTGATTGTTTTCATTCTCCTTGGACAGTAGATAAACTGTATCTTCCCCATGTTGTATGATTAAAATTGCTTCCTCCTATGTGTTGTTTTTGTGAAATCCGTAGAAGGCTAGGTATGGGATTAAGCTATGTTCTTTGTTCCTCTATCACCGTCGATGAGAGAGCTTTTCTTTCGAAGGTTAGCATCTATCTTGACTAATAGAGGATCAACAATACGTGGAACTGCTATAGGTGGGGCCTCACTACTGTAAAACATTAGACCTTCATCGGAGTTCATCCCCTTCCTAAAGATATTGTTAGGTTGGTTAGATAGGCCCAATAATGTGATCTTTACTTCACCCAGACCCAATTTATTTAAAACCACCCCACATGCCGCACACGAAACACAACCACTTATTTTAAAATTTGATGCATGTTTTACAGCTTCTACCTGTCCCATCTTCTTAGTAATTCTTGGCCTCTTCTCTAAAACTATGCAAAGTCTAGAGGTCCTAGCTTCTTGTTCAACTCGCTGGGCATATTTGACCAGCGCCAATGCCTCAACCTACACGAGCCTGTCGATAAATCCCTCTTTATCTACCTCGAGAGAATTTGGGATTTCCTCTACTGTAGCCTTCACTTTTAATTGAGCCCATATAAGATGATTTCTTAGGATGGTCGCTACTTCGGTCTCCATCCAACCTCCACAAATGTCGCCTACTTCTTTGAATATCTGTTGAAACCACAAACATGGGAGATCAACAATTCTTATCCAACATGATTCAGGTTCTCGATCTGCTGGAACAAACCATACCTAAGTGCCAATGTAGAGCATGTCCAGAAGAGCTCATCCTAATAAACTCATTCAAAAGTTTTTTTTTTTTGATATATTAACTCATTACAAAGAGCATTCATCATAATTTTACAATTTTTTTATGGTTCTCAACCCACCACAACTCTCCGTTATATGAATTTGGGAAAGACTAAGCTCTATGAGCAAGAGGAATTCCAAACACAACATCTACTCATCAATGAACAAAATCGGCATGCGAGCACAAATTCTGGAACTTGTTATTGCCTATCTCAATTTCCAACTTGTCGTAAAAAGCAATTGATTCATTAGTATCTTCATTTGGTAGGCATTTTTCAGCACTAATTTGTTGCTTTCTAGGTGAACCGAAGTCAGAAACTCATTTGAGTTAGTCTGGGGATAATTCTGTGCGGGTAATAGCAGAAGGTTTGGTTTAAAAGATAAAGAGGACTAGAATCTGAGACAACAAAAAATTAGGTATTCTACCCACAAGCCCAGGAATAAAGGAATAACATCCCTTTTCGCGTCTTTAGTAGTAATAAGAAATAACATCCTAAGTTGGAGGTCACTTCCTATACTAAGTATCCATTTAAAGAACTAAAGAACAACAAGTCAGATTCATTTATCGATAACCTTTTTCTTCCAAATATAGCCACAACATTTCTTAGAATGGAAAGACAAGACATTGAGACCATTTACTAAAGGAGAGGAGATAAAGGAAATATAGGAAACCAGTAGAAAAAGAGAACACCTGAAGTTTGAAGCACAAGCGTCAACAACTTTACAACATAATTTATTAATAAATATATTGCCTTTTTACAAAAAGAAGAAAAATAAACTTGAGAATTTGGTTTCCGAGTATGATCTTAGTTAAAGAATGAAAATAATAAAGACCAATGGATCTTGATACAACAGCTCCTGTAACTGTCAGGGACTGAGTGCCGGTACATTAAAAATCACTACTAAATGACTGCAGCAACTCATTTGTGTAAAGTTAGAAATTTCCTTTTTAGGATAAAATTCAGATCCCATATCAAAGAAATAATAAAGTCAGCAAATGGCTATTGAAGCGTCCGAAGAGTATATAACAACCAAATCCAATCAAACAACTGACAAGACTAACTTCTTTTTTCTACAAACTTCTTTGTCCCAAAAGATTAAACCTTTTGAGAACTATTTGAATTATGCTTTGGAAACTGCCTTCAAAAGTAGGTTTAAGTCAGCTTTCACCTCCGCAATCATTTTCCAAAAGAAACAACCTCAGAGACTCGTCCAAATATATTGCATAATCGGATCTCTAGTTTGATTAATTAACATTGATCTCATCATTCTTATTCCATTCTTCAATCAATATAACATTTCCTAGTTCAGCGAAATATCTCAATTTTTACTTATTTTTTATTTTGGTAAAAGGGTAACTTGTAATGAGAGTTGGACAAGCTAGTTAGATCAATGAGATTAAGCCTTGTACCATACCGTAAATATTTTTCATGCCATCTTGATATACTATCAATGAAATCAGTGTAACTAATGAAAAAACATATTATGGCTGTCTCGTTCTTGTGTCCCACTTTCTCAGTTATTTAATGATGCTCCCATGAGAGAGAATGATAAGAAGTTCACAATTCATATAGGCTAGAGTATAAAGAATGAAAAGATTGAATGACTTTAGTGTGTAAGTGAAGGCATAATCACCTCGTTGCAGTGTTGCATTGTCACGAGCATTGACACGTTTCAATGTTGCTAGTATTTCATCTGATATCTTCTGTTTAATTTGGTGTGGCAATTGCAACACGTTTTCATCAACAAAAAATTCTTGCTTTAATCCGTTTATCTTGAGGAGCAGGAAAAGAGAGATATATGTCAATGTCATCACGGCATAGGCATAAAGTAAAGAGATAAAGCATGAGGAAACAGTGTTACTAGTTGAATAAGTTGCAGAGGTTGTAGTTGTTTTCTTATTCGATTAGAGTCCTCCATTTTGGTAAGCTGATCTGGAGTATACCTAAAAGTTGTATGTATGTATAAATTTATGAGTGCATAAATATTAAATATTGGATGATTTTGAAGGAGTTACGTTACCATTGATGGTTGGTGAAGTGTATGAATGAAGCACATAGAGAGCAACAAAAATGTTAATTGAACAAACAAGAATGGTGGAACGTTTGTAGTAACACCAATTAGAAGCCCACCACTCTGCTCTTCCCATCTCTTCTCTTCTTTGCTTCTTCAACTTCCCACTCCACCATATCCCTTTTTCATTCACCAACCACAATATCAATTTTCCATTCCCACTTCTTTTTCTAATTTACCAGCTAATCAACCTTCGGGATCGGGATCGGAACCGGCGGATTTCAACCCAAAATTGGATAAAACTAAAAAGGCATTTTCACCATTTGTTTTTTATTTTTAATTATGACTTGTGTGTTTAAGCTACAAATCCTCCGCTCCAACTCTAGTCTAGTGCTCCCTTTTGTTTTTTGGGTACCTAGCGTGCTCATGTGTATGAGTGACAAACGATTATGACTTGTGTGTTTAAGCTACAAGTCCTCCGCTCCAACTCTAGTCTAGTGCTCCCTTTTTTTTTGGGTACCTAGCGTGCTCATGTGTATGAGTAGCAAACGAGTCAGTCGAGTTGAATATGAATAGATTGAAAATGAGTAAAATAAAAATGATAAAGTACTCAACTCGACTCACATTTTAAATGGATAAAAATGAATTATCCAATGGATAATATGAATATCCATATTATAGTAAAGATTCTGTTAAACGCTTTAAAAACAAAATCCTTTTAAAGTTTTATTTATCACTCCACCCATACTAGGTCCCCTCCCCTGCCCCTATCCCAAAAAAAATGATAAAAGAAAATTGGTTCATTTTTTTATTAAAAAAAAATATTTTTTCTTTAAAAAAAAAATTATAACCCAAACCCCC